ATCATCTCTTTCAAAATTAAATTCCACAAATTCAATTTTCAGGCACATCAACTAAAATAAAGAAACTACAAGCGTACCTCTTGCAAGATGAAGTGCAGCTGTGCAGGGCAACGCAATACACAAGATAGGTTGTGATATGGTGGACGATTTTGTGATGCTCGGTATTAATTAATGAATGTAAATTGTAAACTACGTAGTTTGCTACCCTCCCCCCACGTAAAGTATTTTACGTGGTACAGTGTAAATTTACACTTTAAAGTGTTTTAAAAAAAGTGTCATACAGTTTGCATTAAATAATTAAAACAAACGGTGTAAAATGTTTACTCCCCTCCACTTTACGTGCAAAGTGTTTACTTTACATTATAACAAACGGGCCCTTAGTGTCGGGGACATATATCACATTAACATATTTTCTATAAAAATATTGAGGACTCTCTTTTCAGTTCTCAAACAAGCTCTCATTCACTTTTTTCGGAAACCCCAAGTTAAAGTTCTTGTTTCTATTTATTGGAAGTTTAAATTAAAAAATTGCGTTTTTTACTCTTAATCAATTTACTTACCTGGCACTCACATTTTATCCTCCACTACATGTAATCTACTCTTTGTACATCAACATCTAATCCTTAATCCTAAAAATTTTTGGGATCGGCTAACATGAGTCGATGCATGATAGGGAAATGATCCAATATAAGAGTAAAACAAAGCCCATGTTCCCAAATAGGAGCCCAAATTTTTAATTACCTAAATAGGAGTATTTTTAATGTGCTGGGCATATTTGTCCCTGTTTTGAATTTTGTGCGTGTACCCTAATAGCAGGCCCAACCCGTCATTTTAAATTTCCTCTTCAGCTTGCATTTCTTCTTCTTTACATTTCTTTCATTTTTTAGCTACACGGTTGGATGACTAACAGTGGTGGCACATGGGAGCGGCACAAGATGAGTCGACGGACCCACACGACGGCGAGACGGCGGCGATTGTGCAGCGGCGGAGGCGATTGTACAACAACAAAAGGCCGCCGGCAGGGGCGGAGCCGGGGGGGGGGGGTCTAGAGATGGCAATTGTGACCGATCAATGGATACCCGCACCAAACCGCCGCGGTCAAAATGGGGAAAACCGCATTGACCGAGTAATGGGTACGGGGCGGGGAATACCCGTTTTGTTTTTACGGGTAACAAGGCGGTTACGGTTTTATGCATGCCCACCCCATTACCCGCCCCTACCCGCCCCGTTTATTTTTAGTTATATTTTTATTACATTCTTATCTATTACTACGTATTTGTCCCACAACTAATAAAAGATGAGATTTTTAATGTTCATTATGTATGTATGGATAATAGATGTACTAACTATAGTGTAAGAATGAAAGTTCTCAATAGAACTTAATAGCCTTGTTTGATTATTATATGATTTTTCGTGATTAATAATTTTTCAGATCAAGTATTTTTAGGTTCAAATTAATTTAGGTTGTCTTCTTTCTCGTCTTATAGATATATGAAGCTGTAAAGTGGTGTATGAGTCTAGCGTCGTCTAGGTGATGTCATTTTTCGCATTTTAAAATATTATTTTTTTATTAAAATATCAATGACTCATTTAATAAAGTGATTACCCGTGGTTACCCGCGGTTATACCCGTTACCCGATGGGGCGGTTATGATTTGCGTAAAAATAACTAAAAATTACCCGTTGGGTAATGAGGCGGTTATGGGGCGGGGAATTACCAAACGGGGCGGGTACGGTTATATGTAAAACCGTCCCCGATCCGCCCCGTTGCCATCCCTAGGGGGGTCAGGGTGGTCAGCTCTGAAATACCTTCGATAATTTATATTATGGGTCCCGTAACTCATTACGGGTAAACAATTATGACTTCTGGAAAAATCAGCACCATCTTAACTCGAAATAAGCAAAATTTGATGTGTGACGTTGATTATAAACTTAAATTTAAAGATAAAACACCTTATTCAGTCATTAGTGTGTGAACATTATGATACATTACATATATATATATATATATATATATATCAATACATTAACCGAAAAATGTTCATTAAACTACCATTTATCTCAGCTACATATGAAACATTTAGCTCTATAAGGAATAAATGTATTTAGATTTTGATGATGCAGGATTCTTTAGAACACTGGAGTACCCCTATTAGTATTGATGTATTAGAATTTTTCTAAGTGTAAGCATTCTAGAGTAATCGACTGACAGAAGACCTCCAGGCCCTCTGCTGAATGATTACTGGACAGAAGTGCTCGAGGCCCTCTAGTGGCACCCCCTTTGTCACAGCAACAGAAGTCCTCACACTTAGCCATTCTCAAGCATGGTTAGCCGGGTTATCTTAACGGGATATTCCCTAACGGCTAGGAGCTTCTCAACGGAAAAACTACAGGACATTGCATTTAATGCCATTTAATGAGCCCCATACGCTGAGAAGTAAAAGCTGATGATTGACCGAGATTTCAGGGAAACCTTATCCCAAAATAGCAAGCCGCCAAGTTTGCGGGTCCAACCGGTCAACTTCACTGCACGCGCATTTAATGAAGTTGTTTTCTTCCTCCAACGGGAAAACAACCCTAGTATATATGATACTACATGAAGAACTACCCATAAGAACTTTTGCTCTAACAACAAAGATTCAAAAGCTTTCTAGAGATTCAAACTCCATCTCCCTCAACAAGAAAAGCTTACGTTGGAAAGATAATATTTTATCATATTCTTCCATCCAACCAAGAGCAAAGTTCCTCCAAGTTCTTCAACACTTCAAGCACCTCATTACACATCCTTTGTAACGAAGCAAGTTGGAGAAATCCTTGATCTTAACAACTTCTGTCAAAGAAGGGCATCCAAGTAACTGGAGTAGTGAAGTGGGAATACTTCAAGGAAGCTCAGTGAAAGGACCAGTCTTAAAAGAAGCTAGGAAGTGCATCCCAGGAGACATCTACACTTGAAGAAGACGTGGAGAGCTTCTTAAGTGCTAGGACTTAAGTGTTGTAATTGGTTTATTACAAGCTTAGTGGAACAGTGGATTAGAGGAACACGTTGTTCCTTGAACCACTATAAAAGCCCCTGGTGTCACTTACTTACTGCTTTTAATACTTGCATTAACTCTTAAACTGTTTGACTCCAGAGAAGTGGTATCTGTATTCAGCAGAACACCTCTTGTGAGTTAACAGAAGGACTAGTGCCTTTGCATCTCTGTGAGGCTATCCCGACAGAAACCCTACCAAAACACCATTCGCTGCCAGTCTGTTCTCCAACAGAACAGACTATTCTGTTAACCTTGGTACTTAGCTTGAAAAAGTTAAAAACCATAACAGTCTATTCACCCCCCCTCTAGATTGTTACCTCTATAACCGGGACCAACAAGTGGTATCAGAGCCTCCTTGTTCTTGTAATCTCTTAGGTTACACCTTGAACAAAGATCTACCTGTTTTAGCCTCTTTAATTCTTATTATGGATAACTCTCTTTCCAAGCACCTTATGTTTTCAGATCTTAAGTTTGATGACAGGAGGATTCGGATGAAGGCACACTTTTGTGCTCTTCATGATGAAATGTGGGAAGTTCTGGAAACAGGACCTTTCACCCAGTTCATGATTGTCAAAGCCAGATCTGAATGGACCAAGGATGAGAGGAGGCAGTTCAACCTTGACAACATTGCCAAGGACATCCTCTACAAGGCTATTGACAACAGATACTTTAACAGGATTAAGAAGTGTCAAACTGCAAAGGAAATATGGGATAAACTTGATCTCATAGGAGCTGGTGATGAGCAGGAGAGAGATAACAAACTGACCATTGCCATAAACAAGTTTGATGACTTCAAACTCCTTCCTGAAGAGTGCATAGCTGAGATGTATGCCCGATTGCGTGTTCTTACTAGTGAGATTTCTGAGCTTGGAAAAGAGCTCACTGTCAAAGAAGTCAACCTGAAAGTGCTGAGAGGACTGCCCTCAGCATGGAAGATGAAAGTGGTTGCTGTGCAGCAAAGCAAGGATGTGAAAAACTACCCAACAGAGAAGCTAATCTCAGATCTCAAGGCTTATGAGTTTGAGATGCACGAAGAGAAGGAAGAAGTGCAAGAAGAGAGGACCACCACTGCTCTCACAGCCAGCACTTCTAAGGTAAAAGATTTTGACCCTTTTATTTTATTATCTGACGAATATATTGCTGTCTTTGCTAGAAGATTTCAGAAGTTCATGAAGAAGTCCAAGGATACAAGAAGTCCTTCATCTAGCAGAAAGCCTTTCCAGAAGACCAAGTCTTCAGAAAGCAATGGAGAGCTCATCTGTTACAACTGCAGACAACCAGGACATTTCAAAGCCAACTGTCCACATCCTAGAGTGTCCAAAAGACAAGGACAAGAAGGAGAAAGGAAGTATGATGATCATGCCAGAAGAAGGAAGGCACTAATCACGGAGCAGACAGAGAAGGATCCCCTCTCAGAGACAGAATCCAGTTCTGACTCAGAATCTGATGAGGCATTCTGTTGCCTAGATACTGACACAGAAGACCTATGCCTCATGGCTCAGTCTGATGATGAGGTATATTCTACCGCTGAGTCTATTTCTTCTTCGGTAGGCACAACCTTAAATGATGATCCAATGTCATCATTTTGGGAAGAGTTCAGAACTATCCAAGACACTTATTCATAATCAAAGAAGAATACAATAAGCTAAAAGTTGCAATCTCTGACTTAAGAAAAGAGACTGAAGTAAGACTTAATCTCTTAATTGAGGAAAGGGACAAACTAGAAGCTGTAAATGTTTCTCTTCTTTCAGGGGTGACCGTTTCTAAGGCTCATCATAGGGTTTAGAGTCGTAGTTGTTGGAGTCTAGTTGGTGTTAGATTTGTTTTTCCTTTAATTGATGTAATGATCCTGAAATTTATGATATGAATAGAGGCTAGTTTTCGTTTAAAAAAATCAAACTAAAAATTGCTATTTCAAAAACGAAATTTTGGTTTGAAAATTTTGAAACCCAACAATTTTGACTGTTTGTCCCTGTTTCATTCAACAATCAAACTAACAATATAGAATAGAGCAGAAAACAGCTTTGATTCAATACCAAATAAGGATTTCGAACTTCAGAATATGGGTATCGAGAAACAAAGGTTGCGGCTCTCTCTAGACTAAAATAATATGCGCGTGAATAATCTGTCCAAGCCTCTATCGCACATTCCCTTAAAGGCAATATTTATATGCCTAGGGAATGTGTGATGTGACCTAAGCATGATTGGGCTCTTTTAATGATTGGGCCCAATAACACACTTTACACACTTCCTAAGAAAGCTAGTCTAATAATAGCTGAAATATCTAGACAAAATAGCTACACAAATACAAAGATATTTATCAGGATTGGACACCAGAAAAAGTCCTAACAATCTCCCCCTTGGTGTTCAATCATGTTCAATCAGCATTGTAGCGCGAATATCTTTGTCTTTGTGTTTATTCAGCAATGTAGAGGAGAGCGTAGATAAGATTGGTTGAGTTGCTCCTCTTTTGTCTTGATCTCCTCTTTGATGTCTTCATGGAAATTTGTTCTTTGATGTCAGGGAGTTGAAGAATCTTCAGTATCTTGCATGTAGTCCTTGCCTTCCAGAAGTTGCTCTTGATCAGCTTGAATTAAGTCCGATGACGCCTCTGGAATGAATGTTCTGATGATTTCCAGGCACGCATGGGATTCATTTTCAGAATTTGATTACCCGACCTTTGTCTCCTCCATTGTGTAGGTGGCACAGCGGAAAAAGATTGCTTTTGAGGAGATCTCGTCGGTCGCATTCCCAAAAGAGATGGTTAACTTCTGGGTATAGCTGACAATTTGATTTGAAGCTGTCTTGGCATTTCTGATGATTTGAGAGAATAGAGAGCCGTTGTTGATTTTTGTGATGGAGGAGAGATGTGTCCAAAAATGATTTGTTGATAGTGAACAGCATGTGGACCACTCTCCCCCTCATGACGATCCGATGATTCGGGGCGTCATGCCTTTATTCTTTTATTCTGGAAAACAAAAACAAAAAAGAAAAATAAGATAAAAACCGGATACACCATAGTGTTCCGTTATCACAACATCAATGTAAACACCAATGTGTGGCCTGTGTAAAATGATAGAAGCTATAAAGTTCTAACAGGACTTCCAACCAGTCATTGTGAAGCATCTGAAGTAGATGTCACTTTGGTTGTTATGGCATGATCATAAAGTCCAGCAATGAAAGCGGTAGCCCCCCGAGGTCACGTAGACACCCGTTATCATCACTATAGAGATAAACTCTAGAGCGATGGCCTGAACATGTTGGTGATTTCTATGTTGCAACAGCAGGACTTCCTTCCAATCATCGGTCTACATCTAAAGTAGATGAGCCCTATGGAAGTTCTCGCGGGTCATGAAGACCTGCAACTGACTCAAAAGTGTGTCTGTGTCCTAGAAAATTCAAAACATTTGGGAGTGAGATAACTAGACACGACGTGATCAATGAAAGTTCAATGGCATGGGGCTGAGGCCACTGTAGTCAGTATCACTTGCCTCGGAAGGAGACAATAATAATAGATGAGGTTCCCCGTGAAATATGATTAAGCACATGTCTGTTGGGAGACAAGTGAGTGGTCTAGGGTAGGGTTGTGCATGCGCCGTTTGGACAAAATGCAGCGACTTCTACCCGGGATCTGAATAAATTCAGTCCTGAACCTATGGGGAATTGTCCGGATTATTTGAGTGACTGGGAGTAATTCTCTCAATTGAAAGCGCAATTGAGGTAGCAGACATGTAATTGATTATTGTTTTCTCGCTCACATGAGCCTTCTGCTTCCTCACTCTCATAGTGTTCACTCAGTTACCCACTCCCTCTCGGCTTTGCCCCTTGGGTAGGCTTAGTTGGGTTTACTAAGCCATTGGGACTTGTCTCTCATTTCTCTTTGCTCTTTTCTCTTTGTACTCCCCCTCAACTGTAGCACTCAGTAGGATGCCTTTGATGATAATTGGCGCTTGGGAGGAGAACATTGAAAACTCCCCCTCAAAATCTGCATCCTCGAGAGAATTCTTGTATTTAGCTTGGTTGTTTGAGGGTTCAGGTTGGGGTTATTGGCTAGATGAAGCACCATGCTCGAGTATCCGTTGCCTCATATTCTCCCCCTCATGAGGAGCCGAATAATCAGGGTCCTCATGTGAACGTTTGTGACCGCGGAGACTGTCATTGCATGTGCTTTAGGTTTCAAGTACCACAATAAGAGCTCTTTGTTTGTCAGTGAGTGGAGCTTCTTTGGTTTCCAGAATTCTCGCTAGCATAATGGATGCTAGGTCATCGAATGGCATGGTAAATGGTCAAATGGGATAAGGTAAGGATTGGAGTGAGTTGCTGTTGGGAGTGGGAGGATGAGGGTTGAGTTAGAGTTTGGATGATGTCATTAAGAAGCGCCGGGGTGGTCCTGAATTCCTGTGCCTAAGCGGTTATTGCTTCGTGCACCCATGGCTTAATGGTGGAATCCAAGAAGCGCTGCAGAATGACAGAAAGGTCGGTAGGGTCAGGGTTTCTGGTTACAGGGGTAGTAACCGGTGTCACAACATCGGTAAAGAATAGCGGTGTGTGGCCTGCATATAATGATTGAGTTATCTGTTGAGCAGCAGGACTTCCGATCATCATTGAAATATCTCCGATCGTTGTTGACAGGTAGAGTGGACCTGTAGAGTGCGGTGGTGTGAAAAGTGTAAGTGTCCTAGAAAAATTGGAAAATTTTGGAGGGTGACACCTAGACACAAAGTGGTAGAAGGAGGGGTAGTGACCTAGGGCTGATGGTCACTATAGATATCCTCGACCGCTCCGAAAGGGGGCGGAGAGGTGGGTATGAGATTCCCTGATATTGAAACTACTACCTATTGGGAGGTAGCAGAGCGGCTAGGGGAGGCTTGTGTATGCGCAGTTGGGCTGGATGCTGCGTCTTCTACCCAGAGACTGAAAAGATCAGTCTCTGTGCCTATGGGGTTAGCCCGGTTTGTAACATCTAGGTTTCTTCAGCTAGGCTTCTTGATGTTTGCACTCTTTGTGTAGGAGTGAGTGATGAGGAGAGGACATCATGATGTTGTTTAGAGCGAGTCTCACTGGTAATCTGTCCTTGAGTATTCTTTCTCAAGTAAGACTCCCCTTCATCTGCAGCCGTAGGAAGCTTGATATTGAATCAACATTTTTGTACCTGAGCTTTCCTGGCTTTCTTTGCGTTGTTGTCCGCATGATTGTCGTCCTCACCACCCTTCTTGTTGTCGCTCTTTTCAGCCTTGCTCCCGGAGTCCTCATCATCAGCGTTTTATGGTCTGGCTGCGCTAGACGAGTCATAGGTAGTCTCCTCAGCAACTCGGGGGTGGCCCTCAGCAGACGTAGTCTGATCATCATGGGGCCGAACTGCCACTGGTCTATGTGGCTGGGTTAAACTCTCAGGACCCTCACTTGCTCTCGGCTGACTCCCTTGGGTAGGCTCAGGGGGGTTTATCTGAGCCATAGGGAGTATAATGTTATTTTTCTGGCAGTAGCGTCGGACAGATGGATCATTCGGATCAGCTAACTGCAACAGAGACACTGGTATTAAGAGAGGTATAAGCGTTGAATCCTTAGTCATCTTTTGGAGATTCTTGCTGACGTTCTCCGTTGATAGTCTTCGGTGGATGGATGGAGTTGTTCTGGAGAAGCGTCGCACCACTAGTCAAAACCATTTGAAATATGGTAGATGTTTGATTTGATTGGTCCTTTTTCTCTTGCTGATCATTTCAAGATTGTTGTCCCAGATCAGCGAAACGTAGTCAAAATTTTTCATGAATGCCATGCCTTGGAAGGCAGTCAAAAGGTAGATGCTGCACTTGTCGAAGCCGGTGTGTTTGGCAGTGCGGCACTTGTTTAGTGTAGCCATCAGAGTCCTCCATGACCGTGATAGTCTTCTGAGCTTGACCTGGGAGATGAGCCTGATCAATTGTGCATGGCCCAGTGTGATTATGTCCTCCATGATATCTTCTTTGGTGGCTAGCTCGTCATATTCATCCTGCTCTGGGATTTGCAGCACTTGATGCATCAACTCCTTTGTAATCGTGACCTTAGTGTCCTTGATAGTGGCGGTCAGCACGTCATCTATCTCGTTGTCATCCTCATCAGTGTCCTTGTCAAGTGTTACCCAAAATTGTTGGAGATACACTTCAGGCACTTTTGCTGATTTGCTCATGACTTTCCATAGTGTGTGTCCCTTCAGAGGTCACAATTACGTCAGGCAGGACAAGACCTTCGGGTCCGATTTTGAGTTGTTCTCCTTGATGAGGTGTCAGTTCTGGATCCCGTAGATGGTCCTGATTGCTGCTAGTTCTGCCATTACATGCTTGGGTTGTCTTGCATTGATCCTTGATTGGCGCCAGGAGGAGAAAACTGTAACTCCCCCTCAGAATATGCATTTGTTGTTTGTTCTTGGCATGTGTCGGCGTTGAGGTGTGCATTTCTTGATTTTCAGCTCGTTGGGGTAGTATACATGCCAATACTCCCCTTCATAATGTGCACCTGTTGATTGCTCACAACTCGTCTTCATACCCGCCATGCGTGTGGAGCAATCGGTTCAGTTACCACACATGACGGACCTGCAAAAGGTTAAGAAACCTTTGGTACCCATTTCAGGGTGGGTCCATCCCTTTTAGCACAAAACAAACTTTGAAATTTTTGTTTAATTTTAGTTCCTAAACCAGTCTCTTTTGAAGCTTTTGGAGAGCTATATGACTGGGATTCTGATTTAGGAACCCATTTTTGAGTTATTGCAGGTGTATGAGAATTTTCAGCGCTGGTGAATGATGGAACAGATTTCCGAGAAGTAAAGATTTTCTCCCTTGATAACCGTTTCAGGTGTTTAGCTGAATAAACCTTGAGGGGATAAGTCAGGCAAACACCATCACAAACAGTATAGGTTGAAGCTTCAAATCTTTTCTTTTTCGATTTGCCATCATTCACATCACAATGAGGTTTAGAAGCTTTAGCCTTTTGCTTAGGTTTCTCAGGCATTCTAACCTCATCTCTAGAATGAGAAAACACAAATTTAGAGTCATTAGAAAAAGTCCGAGAAGAATGGTGTGTGACAGAGCTAAACGACTGAGAGCTTGAACTTGAACTATCTTTGAAAACACTTTTTGAAACAGGAGAGGAGGTAGAGGTTGTGTCTGCACTAGGGGCATTTTTTAGAAGAGAAATCTCATTTAAAAGTTGTTCCTTTTCTGTTTTGAAAACCTCTCTTTCAGTTTCCAAAGATTTGTGCAAGTCTGCAATTTTACAGATGATCTTTGGAATATAAACATTTTCGGTTTCAGGCTTTTCAGAAACAGATTTTTGTTCCCCTACAGACACTGACTCAGACTCACTTGCTGGAGGAAAAAGTGATACATAGTCATCAGACAAAGGAATTTCCCTAGTCTTATAACTATCATTCAGTTTAGTGTAGTCAAACGAGATTTCAGCCTTAGGATTATTTTCTCTCTTTTCCTTTTCTTCGGCATCAGTTTCTGACGCTCCCACAAAAGACATAAGTTTTGTCAAACCCAAGCCCATGTATCCAATGTCATACAGTTGAATACAATTGACTTTCTTTAAGTTGCGTGGGTTTGGGAAACCTAAGCCTTCCTTGGGATTGTAGAAAGTGGTGTCTTTAGGCTGATTTAAGAAAATGGTTTGTTCTGTTTGACCTCTCTTAGCAAGTAAGTCCTCCAACTCTTTGATTTTTGTGTACAATTTGCATCGTTTCTCATGTAGAAACTCGTTTTCAGCTTTTGCAACATTTCGTTCTAATTCTGTGTCACAAACCTTCTTAGCCAGTTCAGCTACTTTCTGTGTAAGCTTATCTGCTTCTGAAGTTCGCTTCTTAACTATTTCCTTCTCATTCTCTAATTGTATGCTCAGGGATCTGACTTTGTCTAGACTATCAACTAAGAATTTGTGGTTGTTGTTTAACTTGTCTCTTAACTCGTTAATAATATTGTCCTTCTCTTGTGAAGAATGAACTGTGCAAGTACAGGAGCAAGAAGGCTTAGAGGCATCCATGGTTGATTGTTGAATGTTGACCGTAGACGTGAGGTTGATTGAAGTTTCTGCAAAATTTCCGGACCTTGAAGTGTAGCTTGGTCCTTGAGAAAAATAGCCTTAACCTTGAGATTTTTTTTTTTTTTGATTTTTTTTTTTTTTTTTTTTTTTAATCTCAAGGTTGACTCTTGGAAGCTTTGGTTGTAAGGTTCACCTTTGGTGTTGGAGTTTTGGACTTTGAAGTGACTCAAATTAGCTCTTGAAAAAGAAAGATGGAAAAGTGTACACTTTCAAGCAAAGGTGGAAAGTAGACTTTTTTAACTTTCCCACACCTAAACTCTTAGAGAACTTTTGAGCCTTTATATATGAATCACTCCTCCCTTAGTATTAAAAGGTGAAGGAGAATAGGGGAGCTCTCGCGCACACAAGAATTCCGGCTTTCAGTTCAGAATTGAAAATTCGCACCCCCCCTGCGCGGGCGACCTGCGGACACGATAGCCGTAAAATTCAGCGGGTCTCAAAGGACAATTTTGCCCCTCTGTCCTTTCCCTTTTTAAAAAAAAAAAAAAAAAACTTTCAAACTTCTCGAGCTTAAACCCTTTCTCGCTATCAACCTTAGTTTTCGATATGCGAAGCAGTTCTCGATATCCGACTTCGAGAAGTGGTTTTCGATGTTGCTTATCGAGAACCTGAACTTCGACAACGCCTTATCGAGAACCAGAACTTCGAGAACGCCTTATCGAGAACCTGCAATTCGAAAAATTCTTTTCGATATTTCCTTCGAGAACCTGTGTGTATCAAAACCTATCGAGAAGATCTTTTTGCTACTTCTCGATATAACTTATCGATGTTCAATTGCGAGAAATCTGTACTGCCAGAACTGTTCTTTGATGATGCTTTCGAGAACCTGTTTTCGACCGAGATCCTGTCTTGGAGAAAATTGAACTTTTCGCACCTAAAGTTCGAGCAACACCTGCGAGAACCCTTATTCGAAAACTTAAACTTCGAGAAACTCGTCTTCTTCACTTAAACCTGCGAAAACTTCAAAACATCGAAATCTCACAAATCAAAAACGTGCAGTTTCACATTGTTTAATAACAAATGTTGATTGGAATCCTTCACAAATCGCAGATTAGCGTCCAAAACAACTCGATCAAAACAAAATTTGCAGAAAACAAATTTTCGAAAAACTGCTCTTCAACGTCAATGGCAGATTCGAAAATGCAGATAACCTTCAATCGATTTCACGCTCGGCTCTGATACCAATTGTTTGTCCCTGTTTCATTCAACAATCAAACTAACAATATAGAATAGAGCAGAAAACAGCTTTGATTCAATACCAAATAAGGATTTCGAACTTCAGAATATGGGTATCGAGAAACAAAGGTTGCGGCTCTCTCTAGACTAAAATAATATGTGCGTGAATAATCTGTCAAAGCCTCTATCGCACATTCCCTTAAAGGCAATATTTATATGCCTAGGGAATGTGTGATGTGACCTAAGCATGATTGGGCTCTTTTAATGATTGGGCCCAATAACACACTTTACACACTTCCTAAGAAAGCTAGTCTAATAATAGCTGAAATATCTAGACAAAATAGCTACACAAATACAAAGATATTTATCAGGATTGGACACCAGAAAAAGTCCTAACATTGACCATCTCCAGAGAGATTTAGATCTATTTATCATAAGATTTGGACCAGCTACAGCAAATTTTAGATCTGTTTTTTTTAATATTTTTTTCTTTCTCAACTAAAAAATAACAGTACTTTTTTTAAAGTTTTTCAAAAAATGGCAAAAAATATAATAATCCGTAGTATTGTAGTTTATAGTGCCATGATTGACGTGCACTTTGTCGTGGTGTGCCGTCAAAATAAATATCAATACAACAATTATACGTAGTATAACGAAGTAAGGTTTGTATTCACAGGGAAAAGAATATAATATTTCTCTTTTTAATTAACTAGTAACAAAAGGGGGGTTTAGGTTTGAGTGATTTAATTTAACTAAATACGAAGATGAACGACTTATATGAGTTTAATTAATTGAGATTAAAACTTGGTTTTGCTTTTATCCACTTAATGAAATGTTCGTTGATCCCGGTTATATCTTTAACTATCTTCCTCTCGAATACTCAATCGAGGAGTATATCCAGTTCATCGAGGGTAGTTATTAATAACGAGACGCGTTCATTAATAATACTTACTACCGAGTTAATATAGAACACGCGCCGTATATTAACCCGATAGTAGCAATAAAATCAAGATGAAAACGATTGACATTGATAACCTCAACACAAGCGGTTTATTGGTTTAATCAACATAATTAATTCCCCTTGGTTTGCTAACCATGAAACGCATGCATTAATAACCCAAGTTTACTACCGTGAAACGATCGAACGATTAACAAGCGTATTCGTCGATCGATTCTAGTAATAATTAATATATGAAACAAAACTAGTTGATCTTTTAAGTAATGTTCAAAATATTAATATGAAATATGAATAGGAATTAATTAATACTCAAGGAAGAATATTAAAGAAGATGAATCCTACTATAGTTAATATCAAGATGTTAACTAATTGTCATCTTAGTAACACTCCCCAATATTAACATAGAGGAAGAAATCTATTACTATAACTAATGTCAAGATGTTAACTAATTGTTATCTTAGTAACACTCCCCAACATTGATATAGAAATAGTATTTAAGGGAAGAATTAATATTCAAGGAAGAAGATTAAATAAAATAACTCACAACTTACAATCCATTAAGCTTCAAAGTAGCAAAACCAAGATGGAAGAGTTTACCTCCTCATTTGGAGACTAAACATGATAGAAAATATAAAGAAAACACTAATCTAAACTGAGCTAAAGAGTATATGTGAATTGGTGATTTTATTGTGAAGGAAAGAGGTGTATTTATAGGCTTTTGGGAGCTGCAGAGTCTGATACCCGATCGGGTATCCTATATACCCGATCGGGTATCTTAGGAAATTGCCCAGAAAGGCTTAATTGACCTCCTATAGAGGGACTTAATTGACCTTTTTATGAAAGTTCGAGGACCTATTTGACAGTTTTCCCTTTATAAAAAGGGCACATAATATTGTCATAATGTGCTTTTTTAAATGTATCAATTACATTATTAAATGACTTGTGTTGATTATTAAATGAACTACATTTAAAAATTACATCTAGAAGGAATGACTGAGTGAACACGGGTCGACCAAAATAGAAAAGATTATAAAGTTAAAAGGAGAGATCAAATATTTGTCTTACTTTCTTTTTTGAGTTGTCCTAAAAGGAATGACTGAGTGAACACGTGAATTACATTTGAGTAACGGTACTATGTGAGAAACTAAAATGACAATTTCCCTCAAAAATTCATAATGTGCATTTACACAAGTTTTATTCTACCTGCATCACAATTTCATGATCTGATTAAGGTTTACGAAATTTGACCGACGATAAAATAAACGGATTCCTATGTTTACTCAAATTATTTTGAGTAAATAAAATTTACATATTCAACAATTACATTAAAAGTTTTACAAAGTCATAAATAGTAAAATCAAATTTGATAAAAGTTTGATATATAAAATAAGAGATTGATAAAGGTCTGTGTTGACTAAGTGAATTAAAATAAGATCATCAAATTGGGATGAATGTAATATTAAGGTGCTCGATCACATAAAATTATGACAAAGTAAAATGACAAATACAACTGGAAAAATTGGCCCAAGCACTCTCCGTAAATTGCAAGATACAGCAACAACAAGAATCTATGTATTACTACGTATCAAACAGATCTAGATAATCCTGTCTTGACTGTTTAAAAAGTAAGGTGATAAAACTTGGAAATTTTGAGTGAGGCCGAGGTTGAATTATACACGGAACCTCCTCTCGGCAGCGTATGTCTAATCATATCTCTCGCAAGATTGGGTCCCCAGCTGCCTACAATATGCGATAACATTAACAAATGATTTATTTGAATTAGAAAAACTGAGCAATGAAGAATCAGAATCATTATCAAAGGGAAAAAATTCCGGAAATAGAAGTAACAGATATTTGAAAAAAATAAAATTGTTATAATTTTATTACCAAATTAGGAGTAATTACTATTAAGTTTGAAAAATATTGTCATGTTTAAAATCAAGTGCTGTCAAAACATGATAGTAATTATTTTTATTTTTGGAATAAAAATAAAAATCTAGTGGATAATTTACCTTATTAAAATTGATTGAATTTAATAAATTTTAGCCCTTTTTACTAATGGGAAGGCATGAAATTAATTGGGAAGTGCTATGTTCAAGGATATGAATCGATGAACTAGCTAACAAAAATATGAATTCTACAGAGAAGAATAGAATTCGAACATAAGAGATGAACAGAATATAGAAGGAATAGGAAGAAGATGATGATATTATTCAAGCTGTATAGAAGTATACAACTGGGCTTATTTATACAATTCCCGTTCCCGTCAAAGTTGTCAACTAACAGTTAGTAACAACTAACTAACTAAGCCCAATTCTAACTGCATATACAATGGCCATGTAGACTACAATTCTATCCATGGCTTGCCACGTGTACTGTCTAGAGTATTCATAACAATCCATTCCCCTTAAGATGAAGCTTGCCCACAAGCTGCAATAGAACTCTTTACAATTTCTGGAAATCTATTGGTCAAATCTTCATATCTTTCCCACGTTGCATCTTCCTTACTCCCATTCATCCATTGAATTAGCCAGTACACTGCTGCAGCATTTCCCACTTTAGCTATCTTCCTTTCTAATACTGCAAATGGTTCCACACTCAGCATTCCATTGTCATTTATATTAGGAAGAGTATAGCTTGCAGGAAGATCTCCATAATGTTTCTTCAGCTGAGATATATGAAAAACAGGATGTATTTTTGCATGATTAGGTAATTTCACCTTGTATGCAACTGCTCCTACCCTTTTAATGATCTCAAATGGTCCAAAGAACCTGGGAGATAATTTTTGGTTGCCCCGGTAAACCACAGACTGCTGTCTATAGGGTTGCAGTTTAATATACACCCACTCTCCAACTTTGAACTCCTTATCAGTCCTCCTCTTGTCAGCTTGAGTCTTCATCCTGTCTTGTGCTCGTTTGAGATGAAATCTTAACATCTGAATACACTCTTCTCTAGCGCTTAAGCTGCGATCCACTGCTTCCACTAGACTGTCTCCTTTGGTGTAAGGAAGGTGTATTGCTGGTGATTGGCCATATACAACTTCATAAGGAGTTCTGCCTATGGAGGAGTGATAATTGGTGTTGTACCACCATTCAGCCAAGGGAATCCATCTGGCCCATTCTTTTGGATTCTCTCCTGTCATGCAACGTAGATAAGTTTCCAGGCATTTATTGACAACCTCCGTTTGTCCGTCGGTCTGAGGATGATAAGCAGTAGATAATCTCAATTCTACTTGCTGAAGTTTGAAAGTTTCTTGCCAAAACTTGCTGAGGAAGACTTTATCTCGATCACTAATGATGGTTTTAGGCAGTCCATGGAGTTTAAAAACATGTTCAAAGTATTCCTTGGCTACCGTGCTAGCTTCAAATGGATGAGCAAGTAAAATGAAATGGGCATACTTGCTCAGGCGATCCACCACCACCAGAATAGTGTCTTTTCCCAAGGATTTAGGTAACCCTTCTATGAAATCCATAGAGATATCCACCCAGATAGCATCAGGGATTGGTAGAGGTTGTAAAAGACCCGCAGGAGCTTCTAATAGAGGCTTATTTTTCTGACAGATGATACAACATCTGATAAAGTTTCTTACATCTTTCTTCATACTCTTCCAGTAGAAAAGAGTTTGGATCCTCTTACAGGTAGCTTGATTTCCGGAGTGTCCTCCTAGGGCAGAGCTGTGTAGATTCTGAATGATCTCCTTTCTTAAGTATGCATCTTCTCCTACCACCAGTTTCCCTTTCCTTAGCAGCTTACCTTGTGAGAAAGAATACTTCTTCATTGAATTAGGTTCTTCTCTTACTTTCTTCATCAGATCTGCTGTTTCTCCCACTTCCCAACTTTTTTGTATTTTTTCCAAGAGCTCTGAATGTACTTCAGTCAATATCATACTGATCAGTTCCCCATTGCCCACTCTGGAAAGTGCATCTGCAGCAACATTCTCCTTACCCTTCCTGTACTCAATCTCATAATCCAGTCCCATGAGTTTAGGTAGGCATTTACTCTGGAATGGTGTGGTAATTTTCTGCTCCAGTAGGTATTTTAGACTAAAGTGATCTGTTTTAATGATGAAATGATGCCAGACTACAGCTAAGATTACTGCCAGCAACTCCTTTTCATACGTGGAAAGGCTTTTATTCTTTTCAGATAGAGCCTTACTCAAATAGGCTATTGGATGTTGATTTTGAGAAAGAATAGCTCCAATTCCTTTATCTGAGGCATCAGTCTCTATGACAAATGGCTGTTGGAAGTCTGGTAAAGCTAGCACTGGAGCTTCACTCATGGCTTTTTTGAGTAGTGTAAAAGCTTGCTCAGTCTCCTTATTCCAGAGAAATGCATTCTTTTTCAACAAGTTGGTCAGGGGTTTGCTTAAAATCCCATAGTTCTTGATGAATTTTCTGTAGTAGCCAGTCAAACCTA